AAAATATCTTTAATTACTTTTTCTGGACACGGAAAGGAAAGGAAGGGAAAGGAAAGGAAAGAAAAGGAAGGGAAAGCAAAGTAAAGGAAAGCAAGGGAAACGAAAGGAAACGAAACGAAACGAAAGGGAGTAAATTGCAAAAGGATAATAGAATATAAAATAAAGGGAAAGCGCAAGCCTAAAAATAATAAAAGTAATCTAAATTTATCCTAATATTCGCCTTTTATGGTTTCTTAAGACTCCAGCGTGGCTTGGAAAGCACACTGTACGTAATTAGCGAAAGAACAGAAAATTTACAGGGCTATTTAGGATGTTGTGTCACGCTTTACTTGTGCTATATAACTTTACTTTTAAGCATCAACCTTAGTTTGCTTTGGAAAGAGAGGAAGGAGAGGAAAGTGACCGAAAAAAGCAAATATTCCAAATGTTTGGGCAATTTTTTCCAACGAAAATCTAAATTTATCCTAATCTGAACACCAGGGAAATAGAAGAATACGATAATTGATCATTTCCTTCTCTACTCAAAATTAAAGCCGTTTTTTCTGGCTTCCTAGTATCAGGATCATTTGCCTAGCCTTGGTAATCCTGATCCCTAGTAGTATTTTATAGTGTAGTATGATCAAATCCTTCCTGGGTTTAACATGAACAGGATTAATAATATTGCCTTTCTTTCTTTATAGGACTGACAAATGTATTTATAAATATATAGGTAAGCGCATGAAATATAATTAATGGTACTATTGCCTAAACCTAGTATTGCTAGCTCAATGCACAGGATTATCAGGGGGGAGGAGGGTTACACAGAATAGCTTGTGCGCGGGGGATGGGGTGGTAAGGAAAAATTCATATTTTTTTCGACGCGTGTGCGGGAACATCTACCTATGGATAAGGGTTTCTCGAGAAGAGAGAGAAGAGAGAAGAGAAGCTCAGAAACATATAATGCAAGAATGCAAGTTCTTTTGGTGCTTTAAGCATAATCGTTCAATGACAATCAAATCTAATCTTCGGGAGGTATTGTATTTTCATTGGCCCGAACCGGTGCTGAACCAACAGCTGCACCATTTTTAACTGATCAACGGATGAATAAATGAACGATTAAATAAATGTAAAYGAACACATGGGCGGAACAGGTCACTATTTGTCGGACTTGGTAGACTGGGGTAACGTTAATGCCCTCAATATTCGAATATTCCAAGGTTTTGAATTTTCTGTTGATACACCACGATTCACTAAATCCTTCCCATCAACCACAGCGTGAAGTCAGTAAGAGAAGAGAAGCAACTAGGTAGAGGTGTTTCAAAGTGTTTAGTATTGTTGAAGTTGTGCATTCTTTACTTTACGTTGTTTGCGTATATTTAGACAYTGAAATAAGGCTTACCCTTTGAAATGAGTCTGTGATAAATCAGTACAGCGGTATTTGACTAATTTGAAAACGGTCTATTGTATCCAATTGATTTATATATCTCGAGAGCTGAACAAGAGCCAAAAACTTGGCCCCACGTCACAATAACAAATATACCCAAATATATATGTAAAGTTTTTACCGACCAAGCGATAATAAGAGATAATTTATTTTACGTCAGAACACAGGTAGTGGTTACCAGAGGCTCATGCTAAAAGCTAGACAAAAAGTCGTCAGTACGCGTGAGTACCTGGATGATAAACGAGTAAATGAACAACTAAATGAACCTGATTGAAGCGAGTTACAATATGTGTGGGTGTACCGATAATCAGTCTGACCATGCAGTTGACGTAAAACCGTTGTCGAGTTTCATATCGAGTGGGAGGACTGCGGTCAGGATAGATAGACGTCATTTCCAGTCTCGTGTGGAATTTTTATTAGATGAATGGATGACAATGCAAGTAGTTTTAATTTCTATGGAAATTTAAATGGATAATTGCGAATTGGGGAGGGGAGGGGAGGGAAGGGGTAGTGCTTGCCCCTCAAGGGAAGACTGGTAATGAGGAGTCATGAGGTCCATTCAACTAATTGATACAAGGCAATATAATGAAATACTCTTTTGGCGGGATAGTACATGACGGGCAGCGATTGCCTGTGATTGTAGGCTTACTGATTGATATAAGCATAGAATACTCTCTGGTTGATAGCACATGACGAGCAGTGTCTGCCCCTCAACAGAAGGCTGGTAATGAGACTATTTATGACATTCGTTCTGCTGATCGGTACCACTGAAGTAATATGCATTAAGTGTTTTCTCGCACGTAACAGAGCAAGCGAACAAATGGTTGCGGTGAAAACGAGTTCGTAGGGGATGTTTACAAGAGTGTACAAGTACAATATGATCAAAGACATTCGCCCTGTAAATTCATTTCCTCTACCACGCCCCTTGGCCATAGGTCATTAAATATTAAGTGCATGACGTCATAGGTTGTGGAAAGACGGTTGAATCACAGTACAGCTAACGCGGGTATCCTGTGGCATATCATGGCACGTCTGCACGTCTGGTGAACAATAAAGTTAGCTACGAATCTGGCAAGATATCCCATCGAAAACCAATCTCTCTAGACAGAGATTAGAGCGAAAATTGGAAGACAGTTGAAGAGGATACGGTTAATAGTATTATTAGCTCAAGGCTAATGGAAGAACGCTTGGACAAGGATAAAGCTGAATGTCAAGGATAGATATGTACTGTATGTCGTGAAGGTTTTTGCGATAACACTACAATGGTGACCCCAATGTGGTCCTGACTTAAGAGTCGCTTTATCTACGAGCAAGAGAATTGCCAAAGATAGCTACAATTAACGAAGAACAGACCCAAGTTATATCATTACATTTGTAATGGAGAAACATAGGCATGGCTTCTGCACGAAGCAGGGGCTCGATAACAGAACGAGAACAGTTTCGGAAAATGGTTCCTCATACGGAGAGAAGCGAGTTAAACCAAAAGAAAAGACGCGAGACGACAAGCAGAAACAATCTGCCGTCATAAATGAGAACACTGGTGTGGATACCAACGAAGAAGAAACATTCCGTGATCTCATTCTAAAGCATTCTCAACATAGCAAGCAACGTGATGATAATCTTAACGAAGAAGCTCAGAGAGCTCAGCCGGTCGTTGTGAATCGGCCTCGTCCAATGCTCCAAAGAAAAAGTCACTCTGATCTTACGTCCTATTCTAACACAAAAGTTAAAATACTGGTGGAAGGAAAGGAATTGTCCGGTACAGATACTGAGGGAGCATACGGTTCAAATAGGTTTAAAACATCACTGCAGGAGCCCTCGATAAATACGGATCATATTGCAGATGGACATCACAGTACGTTACGCTCTTTAGTTGGATGGTTCGGGAAGGCCCATGCAAAAGCTTATGAATTGAAAAATGCGGGAAAAAACTCCGACGAAACGTCAGAAAAAAGAACGCCTCTCTTGAAAAGAAGTCGCTCCTTCAGTGGAAGAATTCGGGAGAAACTCAAGATCAGCTTTCCCTCGACAAACGCGAAGCAAAAAGAACCGGTGTTTCAACCTCCCAAATCGAACTATTTACAACCTCCCGGTTATAGAAATGGCGTTGAGTGGAATAGAGTGAACGGTAAGGGAGTCACGCAATTTGGGTTTCCAAGAAGACACAGTGATCAAACTGATTTAATGTCTAGAAGACCTTTAGGAGAAAGAAGAGACGTTCGAGCTTGCCCTGCTTATTTTAGCTTGGACCGTGGGCTTCGAAAAAAGTCCGCCAAAAAACCCTTGACACGAAAACGGAGCAATTCCTTAGAGAGACAGGATGGTGATTTTCCTTTTTGGTCACAAATAAGCGACGCGGATCGCAGCCGTTCGTGCGCGGCACGTATTAGTGTGTCTGAACCATTAGATACTCATCGAGATAATGATGGTATGCTAGAAACCAATCTATGTTCGACTGAGCTTTAATCATTTGTTTGGTAATGAGTGTTATTCTTAAGGAGACTAATATGACTGCTGTGACTAATGTCATTGATACAACGCTTTATATGTTATTCTTCGGGGACGACACACTTGAGTTTATCAGGAAATTATCGAAAATGTAAGAACAAACTTAACTGAAATGAAGGCTGCGTTTATTTACTTTCTGATTTATCTATTCTTGGAGATTCTTTTTACAGAATGTGTCTTTATTAAAGCTGGTCTGATGACAGAAACATGTATACAGTTTCGTAACACGATAACCGTCGGAAATGAAAATATATCACAAATGTAGCCTCGGGACCTTTTACAGAAAAAGCCGAAAATATTCCTTGATTTTCTTAAAAGAATCTTCGAGATTGCTAACATGTTTTGTTGACCATTATTGTATGAATGGTTATCAAGTTTTGGATTTTGAAAGCTGTCATTTGAATTGGGTCATGCGTTGTAGACGAGACATCTTCCATGGCCTCGTTCGGCGTGTCACCCCGAGGTCATTGTAGATATGTACGTATATATATTTGTATCACAGACTATCTGGTTATTGAAGACGGTTTATTTGTACTCAAAATATACAAAAAAAACTTTAAAAAATATAAAAACAAGATTACTAACTTATGTTTCATTATTCTGTTTCTCCTATTTTTCATTTTCATCCTATCAAGGAGTTAAAATAGGAGAAGAAAAAGTAAATGAAAATGAAAAATAGGAGAAACAGAATAATGAAACATAAGTTAGTAATCTTGTTTTTCAAGCGCGTGCGCTCCGTCCTATTCATAGCAGTAGCGTAGCGAGGGGGGCACCGGAGGGGCACGTGCCCCCCCAAAAGTTTTGAAAAAAAAATTTTGAAAAAAGAGTAACAAAAAAAACAAAAACATATTAAACCGAAACGAAAGAGGAAAATAAATTATTACAACCTACAAAAGTGCGAATTTACACGAAGTTATCCGGACGGGCTACCTGTGCACTGCGAACCCGGTCAGAGCCTGGAACTGCACGTGGGAATTTGAAATTTTTTCTTATTTTGGATYAGTGCTCCCCCAGCTCCTAGATCCTCGCTACGCCCCTGATTCATAGTTCTACCTGGCCATCCTAAACTAAATACAGTCCAAAGCTCATCAAACAAGACAGCGGTAATTATCACGTCATTACTGAATATTTCAGTGCCCCCCCCCC